CCAACAACTTCTTCAACTATCGTTCTCATTCGCGGGAAATAACTGATTTCCCGGATTCTTGCAAACGTCCTTGCAATTCCTTGATGTCCATGTGCCGGCAACCCATGTTGTTCCGTCACAAATTCCTTGGTCATTTGACTCGGAATGTATACTTTCCCATGAAAGTATATGGTTTCGTTTTCTATTGTGAATCCTGGTTCTATTGTCTTGCGTATGCGTATAGCTGTGGCATCTTGGTCGTAATATGATTGGATTTGGATCCTGAGATGGTTGTCTTCCAATGTATGCGTAGCTGCGAGCTGTGGTGCATTGTAAACCAGTGATTCGCCTTCTTTCTTGAATATAGCGTACGATTCGTACGACTTATTTTCTTGATATTCTGGTTTTCGGCTAAGAGCGTCGGCTCTAGCGTTTTCTGATCCTTTGACATATGAAATCTTAAAATTGTAATTGGCCATGGTCTCTGACCATCTGACCTGTCGTCTGTTTAACTGCTTCGTTGTGGTGAAGTAAACCAAGTTCTTGTGATCTGTATACACCTGTACTGTGTATTTTGACCCTTCCAAATAAACTCGCCATTCTCTAAATGCATCGACTATCGCCAGTAATTCTTTGTCATATATTTCGTAGTTCAATTCGGCTGGTGATAGCTTTCGAGAGTAGAATGCGATTGGTTGCTATTTCTCATTTTGACCTGGTTGGCTCAAAACTGCCCCTATAGCAAAATCCGAGGAGTCCGTCTCCACTATGATTTGTTTCTCAGGGTCGAATGTCAACAGTATTGGTTCCTCGGCCACTGCCTGTTTGAGCGTTTCGAAGGACTCCTGCGCCTTGGCGGTCCATTCGAAGCTTCCTTGATCTTTTCTGGTTAATGTGGTCAAGGGTGTAGTAATCCCTGAATAACCCTTGATAAATCTTCGGTAGAAGTTGACAAATCCTAAGAAGGATTGTACTTCCTTAATGGTGTTTGGCTGCTTCCATTCAAGCACTGCCTTGACCTTATCCTTGCTCATCTTGAGCCCTTGGCTTGATACGGTGAATCCTAGGAACTCTGTTTCCGTAACGTGGAATTCACATTTGCTTGGTTTACATAGCAAATCGGCTTTGGCTAAACTTTCAAGAATGTTGCTGACATCTTTGATGTGTTGGACCTCGTTGTTTGAATATACTAGGATGTCGTCCAAGTAGCATATACAACAGGTGTCCAAATATTGCGACAGTACATTGTTCATAAGTCTCATGAAAGTAGCTGGTGCGTTAGTTAGCCCGAAGGGCATAACTTGATATTCGTATAGCCCGTATCTTGTCTTAAAAGCGGTCTTCCATTCTTCGCCTTCCTTCATTCTAATCAAGTGGTACCCGTTTCGTAGGTCCATCTTGGTAAATATTGTTGCTCCGCCTAATCGATCTCTTAATTCCGTAGCTAATGGAAGTGGATATCGATCTTTCTTTGTAAGCGTGTTGAGCTTCCTGTAGTCCACAACTAGTCTCTTAGTACCATCCTTCTTGGGTACCCACATAGTTGGACTTGCCACTTGGGACGTGGATTCTCTGATCCATCCCTTGGCCAAGTTGTCGTTGATATATTCTTTGAGCGTCTTCAGCTCATCGGCCGACATTGAATAAATTGGGGTGTGCACAGGCATCTTGCCTTCCTCCAATATTATTTCATGATCCCATGGCTTGTGTTCTGGTAAAGCCTCATGGTTCTCTGGTTCTCTAAAAACATGTTTATATTTTTTGTACTGTTCGGGTATCATAGGCTCCTTTGCCTTGATTGCGATTTCATGCCGTGTCGTTGGCTTCTGCATTTGTAGAGGAGGTGTACTGTCCTTCGCTCTTAATGGAGGACCCTGGACTGGGTGTCCTACGTCGCCGGTGTTGTTCGCGTTCAACTCTCCTTGGCGCGTGTTACGTCTCGCGGACGCCTTGAACGTGTCATCGTGACCGTTCTTGCACTGATCAAATGTCACTGTTTCTTGTGACCAATCTATTCTTGGGTTGTGTGCCTTCAACCATGGCATCCCTAAGATGATCTGTTGTTGGCCCAATGGCACAACGTCAAGCTGTATAACCTCCGAATGTTGGGTTATGCTCATTCGTACTGGTCGTGTCTCTTGTGAAACGTTCCCGTCAGATCCTGCTAGCTGTCCGTCAACTAACTGCAATTGGTAGGGGTTTTGTTTCTTCTGGAGTGGGACTCCCAAGTACTTTGCAGCCTCTGGTGCAATAAAATTTCCTGTAGCCCCTGAATCTATCATGGCTTGTTGTATTTGTCCGTTTATCTTGACTCTGCAGTATATTTGTCCTGCTTGTCCTGTAGCATTCAGCTGTGGTGTAATTTGCTTATTCTCGCTATTCTGGATGATCTCATCGGCAAATGTTACACGTCGAGGTTCTTCCTCTTCTAGATAGGCAGCGCTTGTCCCTGATCTAGCTCTGTCATCAAGTAAATCCCTCCATAGGGTGTACCGGTAGTTCCCTTGAGTGACTTTCATTATCGTACCCACAACTGGTGGTGGTAATATGGCTTGAGCCTGGACCCGGTGTTCTTTTCCTACTCTTCTGCATAAAAATAGAACCTGATTCTCATTTCTTTCAGATGTGTGGTGATAAAACACTTCCCATAGCTCTCCTCTGTCTGGCCACTGGAGGTGATCGGTACTGATCCTTTCTATGAATGATGTGTTCGTAGTGATTCCAAACCATAGAATTCGATGCTGATCGACGTACCGAACCTCATACGATTCGCCCTCTTCAGCGTCTGTTACGCTGAGGTCCTCGTTCATAGTTCCTTCGTCTGTATCTCCAAATTTCCAGATACGACGGTTCCATTGGTCAATTTCCCGAATAGACCATGATTCTCCTAACTGCGGGTCTTTGTTTACCCATGAGAGGCCTTCGACCTCTTCTTCTTCTTCGTAAGCTGGTGGTGGCGTGGCTAGCCCTGTCATGCTAACAGCACACAATTGTGGCGTGAAGGTGGCATTAAGTTGGCCCTTGCCGAACTTATTCTTAAAGTTGCCCTTCTTGCCCCCTGTTCTCTTGCTTCGACATTCTGCTGCCCGATGCCCTGCTTTCCCACATTCAAAGCATAAGTTATTTTCTCGTCTTCGTTTCTTTTCCGGATCATCATTCCCACCTTTGTGGTGCGTAGCGTCGAGTTCCATAGGGTCTCCATATCTCTGTGGATTGTAACGTGGTCTTCCCTCATTCTTGCGGTAACGCTCTTGCTTTTGATTTCCCTGGGGTTTGTATGATCTTTGACTTTGTCGATATCGGTAAAGACGATCATCTGATTCGATGGAGTCCTGGATTAGGTCGTTCAAGTCTACACTCTCGGCAGATCTTTCTAACTCCAGTCTGACTTCTGGTTTGAGTCCTTTACGATAGTGACTCATAATGGCGGTTTCGTCCCACTTGGTTGTTCCAGCATATCTTCGAAATTCCGTAGCATACTTCAATGCTGATCCTGTCTGCTTGAGGTTGAAGATCTTATCTTCCGCTACCTCTAGCTCATTGGAGTTCCCGAAGATTCTACGAATCTCTGTCTTAAATCCTTCAAAACTGTTGAAGATTGTTCGAGTGGGTTGCATGCGATCCTGGTCGTCATGCTCGAAATAGTCTTGTAAATATGGTTGAATCCACTTGCTTGCTTCTCCTCTGAGATATGATACAGCCCATACACTCTTGGATTCCTTTTCGGTGAACTTGTCTTCGTTGAATCTGAAGTAGATTTCAAGTTGTAAGAGGAAGGTGTTGAGTTCCTGTCGACTACCTTGGTATTTGTCTGGTAAGGCAATCTTGAGTGTTTCGTTGATGGTAATTTCCTTGGGAGCGTCGGTCATCTCGACATCGTCGGTGTCGGGTGCTTGTGCCTGACTGCTCGCGGATGCACTGGTGGGTGTCATATCGTCGGTTGGTATTGAATTGGTACTTGAAGCAGAAATGGTGCTCAAAGTGTTACGGGAGCTGCCTCTAGGGTCACGTGGAAGTGTCTAGAGTTCTCTCGAGGTGGTTTAGACTAAACTTCAAGTAGGAATTCAATAAGGTTGGTAACTGGTTGCAATTCTCGTAACTATAGTAATGAAACTAATGATTGTTCTTGAGCACGAAGCTCTACATTGTAATGAAACCCATTCCCTTATATAGACCTTCGTTCTCTCTCCTGGTCCCTAGGACCTCTCCTATATGTTGGATCGTTAAGGATCGCAACGCGCTCCAGGAGCGCTGAAGCTCCTTGACGCTCCATCACGTGTAATTTATGTCATGTGACGCGGTATGTTGGATGCCGTCGTAACAATTCAGAACAATATATTAAATAACAATAAAATAACAGTATCTCAAAAACACATTTTAAAATTCAATAATCCTATAATAATCCTCTTATATTTGAAAAAAAAAGATTTTATTACGATTTTCGTTACAAAAAATTTATCTCTTTAATACCTATTATAATAATTTGAATTTTCAGAAAATCATTAAACTTTTACAATATTAATATAATTAGAATATATATATTAAATTTTCGTAGAAATCAATTAATAGATAAAGAAAGTATATAATTACATATAGACGAATTCTTATAAGGGTTTAAGCCTCGATTTATTATATACTAAGTAAAAACATATTAAAAACCTTCATTTCTTTATCTTTTAAACTATATATAAATTCAATCAATCTTTAAATGAAATTTATAAAAATAATAAATATGATATTCCTCCCTAACCCTCCAGCCACCTTCAGCCCCCCCCCTCCCCCAGCTTCCCTCCACAATTACATTTTATTTCATTTCATTTCGTGCTCAAATTAAAATCCACATGCATTTTCCTTTTCGCTTAATGAACTTTCAAGGTTTCTTTCCATTTCGCCCCTTTCCACCCTAATTCACTCTTATCCACTTGAACCTCATACACCTTACTCCATTACCTCAAGATCCCACATTGACATGCATCTACATCTAGAAAGACAATCAAAATATCTCAAAAGTCATCATACCTCAACTCAATCAAATCTATATTCTCAATCTTCATTTTCATTCTCATTCTCGTCTCCTACTCAAACACTCTCAAATGCTATCTGCAATATTTAACCCCATCTCAAATCTCAATCTCAATTACTGGTATCTAAACATCATCCCCTCCCATTTCCTCTTCACTCTTCTCTTATTTCAACATCCCATCCCACAAACTATCCTCTATCCATCTTCCCATTATTCACTTCCTCAAAACCCGACAATCAAAATATAATCACATCATATCCACTCCTGGCAATCCTCCCACACACACCTTGCAGATCTAGATCCAGATCCAGATCATAAGCAATCTTTCCCCTTCCCTTATCCGCCTTGCTTCTATCTCCCACCCTTTATAACCTCCCCCTAATCCTATCCCCTCACTTAACAACAACTCGCAAAAATGCGCAAATGCAGAACAGAAATCATGAATGGTATCTCAAAAAAAAAAAAAGTGTAAAAGAAAGAATCCGCGAATGAACAACAAAAATGAAAGGTCCGAGATATCGAACAAAATCGATCGGACCAAATTATATGCGCTGCAATAATCAAGATCTGATCTGAATGGAATATTGAGAAATAAACTTTAGTCGCGTCTGTGTGTGTGGGTGTGTAAATTATCGGACAATAGAATATGAATGTGTAAGAATCCTCTTAGCATATCTAGATAGAGGCCAGGACAATTGAGAGTGCGAGGCGTCAATCTACGAGTAAAAGTTTCATCGTAGGTGAGTTATGACGGGAGTAGATTTCGGTATCGGAATCGGTATCGACATGGTCGTAAAAGAACCTATAGAGCTTTTCTTCGAATAGGTGGAGGCGCAGACGAGTTGTTGTTCTCCATATTACCCGTAAGTTCAGCTACGCGAGCTTTGATGCGTGCAACACGAGATTCAATAGCTAGATCCATTAGTATATCACCCCATGAAGAAGCTTTGGGAGAGGAATACTCACTCTCTTCACCTGAAGTTTCATCATCATTATCAGTAGATGGACGATGTCCAATTCTAGATTGTTCTTCGAGTTCTCTATTTCTAGCTTTTTGTTCGGCAACATTCTTACGGATTTGTGCCCATTTGTCTTGAGGAGAGATTTGTTGTGTGAGCGGCTCTTCTTGAGGCTCTTCTTGAGGTTCTTCATTGGTTTCCTCATATTGGCTTCGTGCATTGTTTGATGGTGATCCAGAATCTTCACTTCCTCTTGGCGTATCAGATTCGGCTGCTGGGACAAATGCTGGGAAATCTTCGAGAGGACCTTGATCGAATTTAGAGAACTCTTGACGAGCTTCCCTAGCATCAACAGTATCAACTCTAGATAGATCATCTGCAATAGAATGTTCGTATGAAGGACGGCGAGGAGTTGCTGGTGTCATTGGAGTTATTGGAGTGACAGGAGTATGTTCATCAGATGCAACTGGAGGAGCTGGTGAAATCGATCCATCTCCCTTCTCACTAGTAGGTGACTTGAGTGAATTCTTCTTTCTCGAAAATCGTCTAGTCAGACTGTGCTTCTTTCCTTCTGGTTTAAGTCCATCTTTACCATTCATGGCCATTTGAGAAGCATTTGGTGGAGCAGGCTTCGTTTGCTTCTTTCTACCAAACATACCTCTAAAACCACCAGCGGCAGCTGGATTATTCTTCTTCAATTTGTTATGCGTATCCAGAGTTTCCGGACTCGAAGGTGCATGATCCATAGAAGCTCTTGGAATGTCCATACTTGGCTTGTTTTGATTCAGAGGAGATAGTGGAACGGGTTTTCTCTCAAGTGGATGAATATTACTTGGTGAAATTGGAGCCCGTGGCTCTTTGGCTTGATCTTCGCCAGCTGGTAGAGGTGGCAAAGGCGAATGGCGTCCAGTTGAAGTGGTTGGAGTAAGGGGTAGATCTCTGTTACTGTTAAGACCTGGTGATAGAGCTGCTTGACGGTCATATGAATTTCCATTGGGCTGCACGGTACCTTCTCCAAGACCTCGTCCCATAAAGTTAGTGCCCAGATAGGCTTCTCGAACAGCATCTTTATCGTATTTATTGGCCCACTTCATTGCGGGAGAAGCTTCCGATTTGAGCATTGGTTGAAGCGTCAACACACTGTTCGTTTTCAGAGAAGCTGCCTCAAAGTCGTTTCTTCCACGTCGCGCTGCTAGTCCTTTCTCTTCCTCCTGCTTTTTTTGTCTTTGTTGTAATTGAATTGCTGCTGCTTGAATTCGAGCATGTTGATCAAGGCCAATAGTAGTCTTACTTGCGCTAGTACTTTGACTGTATCCTGGTTTCAAGTTGCCGGGTTTCTCCATCTCGGTTTTGCCTGTAGATCCTCGTCGCTTTGCACTATTCTTGTTTTTCTTGGTTCGCCCCCAAAAGCTCTTTTTCTCGGCAATGTAAGCACCCGCTTCAGGCTCCGGTGCTGCGCCTTTGACCATTTCCTCCATTACCAACCAGCGACCACCTTTAATGGTTGTCTCAATCAAAGCGCACCGTCCAAATGAAGCCTTTCGGTCCACCGTTTCTTCGCCGGCCAAACTACTAATCCAAACCCACCAGAATGAATCATCCAAGTCAAATCGAGTAATGCTTGCAAGCTCACCAGGTTGTAGATCCTTATTTGACTCGAGTCTAGGTTGGTGTGATTGCGAACTTCCTGCTCTGGTGTTGATAGGTGGTAGAATCTTATCCGGTGGCAATAGTAAAGGCGGAGGACTACTTGGTCCATCATCAACAAAGCCCGAGGAAAGGAAATCCGCCCAGGAAGGAGTAGTTGGTCTGTCACCAGCCTTAGATCCACCATTTGCCGGAGTGGTTCTTAGCCCTTGTATAGGTCTTGGCTTTTTTGGTCCTAAGAAGGTACTTTCATCATCCGCCAATTCATCATCAAAAGATGCAGAAAATCCAATATCCTCGAATCGTGACCAAGAGGCATCTCGTAAACCCGTGGATTCTGTAGAATTAGATACCTGAGATTGATTCGTAGTAGAAATTGATCTCAAAACACGACGGCATTCATCAGTCAAAGCTCTGACTGGATCCTCAAATTCGGAGAATTGTTGTAGAGCGCGGTCATCGTCTCGATATTGGAAGTGATTTGCTCTTCTTAATAATGCAAATGGCGTGGGTGAAACTGAATTTACTATCATAACCACCTTTGTCGTCGACTGCTGTAATAACGAAGGTCTTTCTGGTGGATATTCCGTTTCCTGGACCAACTTCTGTAGGGACATGGGCAATTTGGATATGCCGTTTGTGCCCGAGACGGAATCAGGAGAGAGGGATCGTAGATAGGCGAAGAATAGATGACTTGCAGCATCAGCCGCACTAGATAATGGTAAGCATATTTATAAATCTGACGGATGGATCTAACCCACGTTGACCATCCTTTATATCCACCTTCAAATCCATTGCCTGTATCATTATGTTCGAAAGCCCACCATCCCGCATATCTCGATAATTTGCGCCCAGCTAAACCATTCGTTTTTCCATGCGCAGCAATTGCTGATAGGAGATCGAAGAAATCAAAAATGATATCTCTTCTCGCATCCGAATCTACACTTAGAGGTATGAAAGTTATGAAAGCGTCGCGGGCATATCTCGAGTCTGCTAACCGTTAGCCATGATCTCCTTCCCTTTGAATCCCCAATCTCCTACCATTCTCTCCCACTTTGAATAATTCATATGCATCCCAAGAAACTACACCACCGGCCAATCGACTCCAACACCATTTAAGCACGCTACATAGAACCTAATCTGAAATCAGTTGTTGATCCCACCCTCAATTTCGATCTGCCCACTCACCATAGGTTCCGTAAGTCTCAACTCCTGTGCCAGCATTTCACGACTCAATTGTCTCTTGTCGAAGAAATTCCTAATGAAAGTTCTTGCCGCACTGGGATCTGACGTAGGTCGGAATGGAAGTAGAAGGAATGGCATATCCAAAGCTGCAAGGACCGACACAAATTAGCAGTGTGTAACATAACATACGCAGACTCCATAGTAAATTCCCCTCCTCCCCCCCCTAGGCTTCGTGCATAATCGATAACGGGGGAGATGATATCCAATTCTGAATCAGACTGCATACCTCTTGATTTTAATTCCACCGTACATCCCCTCACCAGATTTTGAATTTCTTCTGGTTCGACGGTGGTTCGTGTCCATGCATCTGTCCACGTTGGCTTCGCTGGGGCTTGATCATTCACCTCGTCCTCTCCCTTCTTCTTGGATGCTTTCGTTGGGCCATCTTTACCCTTCAACCTTGAGAAGAAGTTGGGCATGATTGCGAAAATCGGTCGAGTGTATTATCGAGATATCGCTGATCATGAAATCCTTTTGTTACCAGTTATGTAAATAAAAGGACATTCGAAGGTTGAGATTGAAATTGTTGCTTGGAAAATGAATGGATGGAGTTGGGGATATGATGTCTTGTATCAGATTCGCGCTCCTTCGGATAAGAAATTAATTAGAGGGATGGACGTTGTGAGTGGATAGATGGAGAAGTATGGGTCGATGTCTGGGATTGCGATTGAATGCATGTATGTAAACTTTGGAGGGTGAGAATGAGAGAATGAGTGAATGAGCGAATGAGCGAATGAGTGAATGAGTGAATGAGTGAATGAGTGTATGAGTGTATGAATGGATGGATGAATTCAAGTTCTTCCACCGTATGTACCTGGGTAGGTATGAATGAATGAATGAGTGAGTGAGTGAGTGGTCGAGTTTATCTCTTCACTCTCTGAACCACTGTTCTGGCGCGGTTGGAGGGGAAGAGGAATATGTTTTTCTTTCCTTATTTTGTTTTCCCCCCAAAAGCAAACCTTTCTACTGAATTCAATATCAAATGTAGTACCGTATGATATGTATGGTATGAATGGATCACTGGATGGTCCGAATGGAGCTGAATGAGCTGATATGCTATTATCTATGCTGCTATCCATGGATGTTATGCGATTATTCTCTTCTCCATCAATTTTGGAAATTGTAATTGAAGATCGGGTATCCCAATTAAAGGGGATTTTCTGAATCCAGCCAGGCCATATACACCAACAGTCCCAGCAGTACCATTTTCAACCCAATCCCATTCATTCATTCCTTTTTTCCTTTTTTCTTCTGACCCAAAACAATACCTTTCCCCCGTACGGAAGATACCAAGCTGAGCCATACCTGGGTAGTTTGATGTCCGGTAGTTTGAGTTTCCTTTGCTACCGGACCAGTTGGGTTAGTGGTGCTAGATGGGTATCTTGGGGATCTTATTAGGGATCTCTTACCCAAGTACGAGTAGTGAAAAGGTATGATTCTAGGTAGTGACTAGGTAAATACTAATAATAAGTAAATACTAGGTAAATACCACGTACATACTAGGGACGGAGGTTTCTATCAATTAAAATTTCAGGGGATTAAAAAGGTCGACTAGGGAGGGATTCGGTATGTAATTGGCTTCAATGAATCCGTGCATTGGACATTTTACTGCTCTGTGGTCTGGACGGAGTATTATTATGATTAGCTTTACATTTTATTAGCTTCACATTTTATTGGCTTGGGATCTTATATGAGCTTTGCTTGTCGGGGACCTGGGACCGTCAATCCAATGAAAATCTTCAGTCAGTGATAATGTGGTACACGGAGTTGAAGCCTTATTTGAGGATATGATATCTGGTTATGGATTATGGGCTATGAGTATGAGTGGGCCATGAGAATGGGCTTTATTTGATGTCTTGCTTCTTGTAAGAAATTTAGACGGTCGGAATCTATTTGTTCCCGTCGTCTTCATATTTTACTTGGGAGAGATGGTTCCATAGAATCCTTTTTAGATTCGGTGGCAATGGAAATAGTGTTTGGAAGAGTATAGACTTGGCTGTCTGGTTGGCTGGCCGGTTGGCTGGCTGGTTGGCTGGCTGGTTGTCTATCTGGCTGTCTGGCTGTCTGGCTCTATCAAGTCTTCCATTCGTGTTGATTGAATTCTCTATTGATTAAACTGTGATACAAGCAATAGGGAGATAGATATTCGTTCATTCTCTAGTGGACGCCCATCTGGTAAGGAGATAGAAGGATGAAGATCGAGCTAAATACCTAGGTAGCTCTAGAAGGAAGAAGGAAGATGGATTGAGCCATTCACCATTAGCATTTACAATATAATATAATGTAATAGGTTACAGCATATCACATACATCGTACGAGTCCATCAATGGAAGATCTACTTCTCTTCATTCCCACTGATTATGCATCGAAGACTGCTAGAACAAAAAAGTAACCGAGGGGCAAGTCCATACATCCCTAGGTACAGACCGTGACACAAAGCATTAATTCCTCCATATGGTTAACATCTTTTTCAGAACACATGTATACATAAATACCTCGTACTCATCATCTCCTCGTGGTCTCTACTGCATCACATATCCAGTCTTTTCACAGATCAAAATGCACACCTACCACATTTCAAACTCTACACTCACTACATACTACACACCTACCTACCACATACATATCTACCACATACATATCCCAAGACTCCGCAACAGCCTCGAACCATCCTATCCTCCCATTCAATTCAATCATATATCTCCCTCCATCCCATCCATCCAATCAACCCACCAATTCCATCCCATCCCATCCCTCCCCCATGTCGCCAACTCAACTCCCGCAGCCCAAGCTACATTACAGCCTGCATTTGCCAACGCATGTAAGTGGGATTTTGATCATTCAAGCTTAATTTTCCCAACGACTTTTGGTCTATCGTACTCCAAAGTATGATATCAGATGATGATGATGATGATGATGATGTAATAGTCAATCCATACTTCATATGAATGACCTCCAGTACCAATACTAATATCAATACCGATATCAAAGATTCAATCAAGAATATACCTACTTAGGTATATCTACATATCTACATATCTAGATATTATGCTCTGCTTACCTACTTACATGTTACCCAGATAAATAATTAGGTACCTAACAATCCATGCCATCTGATACAACCATCACCCACCCACCCATCACGCATATACACCTAAATCATCCTCAACTCAAAAAATACCCATTCCCCATCCTCAAACCCCATCCTTCACTCTCAAACACAATACGACACAGCCACAGCCACAGACCCAAAGCACGAGCCCCAACCAAAATCACCCGACATTACAGACAACCACACACACCTACCTAGGTAGGTACAACTAATCAAAATCATAGCATACCATAATAGCATAGCATAAACATCTCAATCTCATCATTTCATGCACCAACTACCGGTACACTCACTGCATTACATTACATTACATAAGTGTGAAATACTAATAATAATACCTACCTAATAAGTTACTCGATCGATCAGGCTCTAAATTCTCTTCAGATGAAATGGTAAATGTACGAGGGAGGAGTTTGATAGATCCCCGCCGATAAATCATAATTAATCAATGAATGATATTGATATTGATATTAATAATGTCGAGAATCGAAAATCGAGAATATATACCGAGGAGTAGGTACCTCAGTAAAAAAGTAATAGGTAATTGCGGCTGAAGTGAAGATTAGAGATCAGACCAAACTCGATCCAATCACGAATAATGATTAGGAATACTTACTTACCTATAACTTATATCAAGACGGAAGAATCATTCATTTACTTATAAAGACGTGTAATTCCTTCCACATATTCCCATGTAAGATCTCACTTTTCTACTTATTTTTTTTTCATTTCTTTATTTATCTATTCATCCATCTACTCATCTATCTATTCATTATATCTCTGTTCATTTATTCCTCATCTCTTCACCTATTCACCTCTCTACCTCTCCCTTTCCCTTCCGTTCCAATTTCTATTCTTTCACTGGACAAATCTGAAGTATACTTCCATCCCACATTATCATTCATGCAGTGGAGTCGAGTCATCAAATTGTGTCTTGCGCAATGTAATGCGCTACGCATGAATACATAGTCTTACTTACTTGATTTTTATTTCTATTTCTGTTTCTTAAAATAAATCTAGGAGAATAAAAAGGAAGGAAGGAAGGAAGGAAGAAAAGAAGGAGGGAAAGAATATAAAGAATATAAAGAATATAAAGAATATAAAGAATATAAAGAATATAAAGAATATAAAGAATATAAAGAATATAAAGAATATAAAGAGTATAAAGAATATAACATGTAAATATATATATATATATAAAGAGATGTATAGTTTTATAACTCATTTAAATATTTAAATGAGTAGTTGAATACGAAGGTAAATAATTACTATGTATTCATTTAATATAAGATAGATATAATGTATAATGTAAGAGTTAAGACTCCGGCTTATCGTATACTACTCTTTTTTGTAATAAAATCCTTATAAAAATACTGTTTTTTTATATAAATTAATTATTTTTATAATTCTTTAACTATTTGAGGAATTGATTTGAAAATTATATATATAAGAAATAACTATATAAAAAATATTCGGTTTAAATAATTTTTTGAAATTATAAAAATTAATAAAGTTATAGGTTTTTAGAATTGAAATTTTTCAAAATTTATAACATGTAACACTTTTCTCATATAAAAAAACTACTTTTTTCAAGTTTTTTAATACTTTCAACTTTAAGAACCTATAACTTTATCAAAAAAATAACTAAAAATATTTCATTTGTTTTTTTTGAATCATTTAATGATTTTTAATCTTATATATTATTTTCATAAACTTAATTTTTAAATTAATTAAATTAATATATAATTTAAAAGTTAAAGAAATAAGGGTTTTTAGTGTGTTTTCACTTGGTGTACAATAAGCCAGGGCCTAAACTCTTATAATGTATTTAGTTATAATTTTTAATCTTCATTTATATATAAATAGGAAGCTAGGAGGTAGATAATATCTCTTGAAGAAATCGAAATTTTCATAATTATATATAGTACTAGAACATAGCTAGTATAGTTTTATAGTATGAAAGAAGGACGAAGTTCTTATTATACTATATAGAAGCTATTTATATGTACCTCGGTACTCTGGTGCGCTAGTGTTGGCGTACTAATAGCTGTTTGTCGAATATCAAAATTACATCAAAACTCATATAAATCATTTATATTTTATTAAATGAATATAATATATATGTTAGTAAATTTCATATTAGTTGATTCAGTTTCATTTGAAATTTAAGAAAAAAAAATTATTTATTTTTAAGATTTTTATTCATTCTAAAATATATATAGAAAGTTAATAAAAATTGAAAATATTGAAATTTACTAATAAAATAAGCGAAAATCAAGAACTTTTCTTTTGATATTAATTCAATCTTATAAATATTAGTATATATTTATTTTCAAATAATAGAAATTTCAATAATAAATTCTTTATCATATAATAAAATTAAATTCAATGATTGTATTTACTTTTTATAATTATAAATAGGGCAAAATGTCTGTTTTTGATGTGATTTTTAAAACCGACGAGCAACTGTATACGATTACTAAGTTGGATACCCTACTTTCGGGCCACCCCCCTTTTGGGCCACTTTTTACACTAAAAATGGAATTTTTAACTTTCTTATTTATGAATAGAATTTATTGAAAATTTATATATATAATTTAGATCATTTTTAGTTTAGCTCGAAAATTTCAGATTTTTAGGAATTTTCTGTATTAAGAT